AAAGAAATTTTACCACCTCATAGGCAGGCGCTCTAAACTGGCAATCCACAACAAACTAATGGTCTACAATCAAATACTAAAGCCGGCTTGGAGTTATGGCATACAGTTCTGGGGTTGTGCCAGCAAGAAATACATTGCAACTATCCAGCGCTTTCAAAATAAAGTACTACGATACATCGTAAATGCTCCATATTACATTAGTGATCTCCACCGTGACCTTGACATACCAACAGTCGACGTCGTGGCAAAAAGGTGTGCCATTGCTCACAAACAGCGATTGAAAACACATGTCAACGTTACAGCATCCAGTCTTCTCCAGGTGGTTGCAATATCTAGACGGCTAAAAAGAAAAACAGTGGCAGACTTAATGGACAGCGAGTAGCAAAATAGCTTCATTTTTTTTTTACATTAAATATTCAAATAAAATTGTTTATTAGTACCTTTTTTTTTTGTTATTTGTACTAGGTGCAATATTAAAACGATTTTTGTCTTTATTTGAAGAATCGTTAATAATAAATAAAAAAAAAAAAAAAACCTCAAGAAATAGGACAGTTACGAACTCAGACGACATAACTAACGATTTGAGCTAATGCTCAGGACGCCTTTCTGACGTAATACCTAACGGTAGTTCCAGGAGGGACTCTCCGTCCGGACATGAGGACATGTTTTTAGCGGATTAAAGTTTCGCACTGACTTAGGCTTTCGATGCTTTTGAGTCCTCGTTAAAAAAAAAAAAAAAAATATAACACCTTACTACGACTAACTCTCTCTCATTGTCCGTATTGCCAGCCAAAATCCAAAAATAGGCTGGGTTGCCAGCTTCAGTCCTAACATTCAGCCTTCCTGACCTTCAGCTTCATTGCGTGTCGGATGTGACTCAATAAACGTTGTTTGTACTTCAGTGAATTCAGCTTCAGCTATATGACGTGATTTTATAATAAGCGTGCGTGCTGATTCAGTATCTTCTAACTGATTACGAAGCTGATAAATTAACTCTTTACCTTGTCATTTGGTACAACTAAGAATTTATACTCGATATTAAGTTGATCTACCTCAACATGTGCATTAAAAAAACCAATTGGCATTTATTTAGGGTACCTAATCCGCGCAAGATAGGGGCACTTTTGCAAATTTCCACATTTTGCAACTTTTCCGGAATGCTCTCATTTACAATCGTTACGTCGGATCCTGTATCTACCAAGCATTCACTATAAATATATATTTAATCCTTTGACTTCTAGGATGAGCATAGCGCCGCAAGAAATATTTCCCACTCGGTACGATTAGTGGCCAATAGCTTCAACTCTCCCCAGCTTTTTTGCATGTGTAACATTCCCATGTCAATTTGCCTTCTCCAGGTGTGAGCGGGGGTGACCCTTCTGCTACTCATCGGGTTCCACTCAATCGCCATTCTTACCAGTCGGTCTACGCAAAGTGTGGCCGGCCTATTCCCATTTGCGTTTTTTGATTTCGGTTCTCATAGGTGTTTGCTGAGTTAGGAACCATAGACGTCCATTCAAAATTGTATTTTGTCAGAATACTTTAACAATTTTGCGCAATGACTGATTTACAAAAACTTGTAGTACATTGATGGCGTTTTCCGTGGTATTCCACGATTGACATCCATATAGCAGGTAACATTTTGTGTTGGAGTTAAATATTCGTATTTTAGTCCGACGCCATAGCTGATATGCTCTCCAGACTTTATTTAAGCGACCAAAGGATTATTTAATCTTCTTGATACGCTTCTCAATGTCCGCACTAGATCCACCATTTTTTGATATGATGCATCCAAGATAGCAAAAAGACTCTACATCCTCAAGACAGCAGTTGTTTATAATAAAAGGATTTTGGAAGATAACATTAATGTGCATAACTTTTATTTTGGTAAAATTGATTTTAAGTCGTGCTCTATGTGCCGTAGTTATCAATTTAGGTTGCGAGATATATCATATATCTGTATGCCAGCAGACATAAGTCTTTGACGTGATCTAGATCATTGAAACTATCTCGAACACCCCAAGTTATTCCGCCACCTTGACCCAATGCGTCTGCCAAGACTACGTCCAGGACGATGCTGAACAGCAACGGCGACATTACGCAACCGTGTCGAACGTCGGTTTTATTAGTATTTCAGTATTAGTATTTTTTCGCTTAGATATTTCTCGTGCAGTATCAGGCAAGTTTCATCCTTCTGTAGGGCTTTGATGAGCCTGATGATCTTTTGCGGCACACCCCTATGTTCAAGCGCGTTCCAAATGACGGTGTGACATAGTGTTTCAAAGGCTTTCTCGAAGTCTATAAATAATAAATAAAGAGTTGATCTTCATTCCACAGACTTTTCGACGATTACGTGATCGGTTTATGTGACGGTTTATGTGATCAATACAAGACTTGTGTGGGCAGAATCCACTTTGTTTTCTGGGCAACGTTGCTGTTAATGCTGTTAAAAGACTGTTGGTGATGACATGCGCTATTATATTATAAATCATGTTCAACAGAGTAATGCTTTGCCAATTAGTTCTTTCTGTGAGATCCCCCTTTTTTTAGAAGCTTTATGATAATACTCTCTTTGACTTCGGATGAAACGTTCTCTGACTGCCAAAAACGTTCTATTAACGGGTGGATGATCTGTGCGTGGATCAGTTGTATGTGGGTCAGTTTTCAGTAGTTCCGATGCTGAACCGTCGGGTCCTGGTGTTCTGCCGTTCTTTAGTGTCTTATTGCAGTTATGATCTCTGCAATATAGCGGCAGGAGGTGGAAATGTTGCTATTTTTAGAATGACTAACACAGTCGCAGTGCAATTGAGCCCTGTCTGTAACCAGCACTCCATTTTCGTCTTTCAACGGCTTACTGTTCCTGGTGTTATTTTCAGTAAGTTTTCTAGTAGCTTTGTACATATTACCACTTCTATGTAGCTGCGGTTTTAGCTTCATTGGCTATATTATTGTACCATTTTGTTTTGTCGCGACGTGTACTGCGTTTTACTTGCTGGTTATATTGCTTCTATTGCTATTGTAGTGCTGATTTAGTGGCCCGCGTTCTTGCATGATTTACTTCAGCTTTTTTAGTTTTTCTGTTTTCAATTAAGTACCACGTTTCGTCTGATATCCATTGTTGCCGTGATTACAGAAACCAATTTGGTCCTTAGCGGCATCAGTGAAGACGGTCTTGACAGTTTGCTATTCCACACACTCTTCGGTAGTTGTTGAGTTTAGTGACGATTTCAACTGCTCGGTATACCCTGTCATAATACTAGGTCTTTTAAGGTTTTGGACGTCAATTTTCTTCGGCATTCTGTCCTTACATAAAAATAAAAATAAGCAAAATTCGGAAAAAAATTATAATTTCGAATCATATTCTCATGAAGCCTTAAACAAGGAGAGTAATACATGGGAAACAGTACATAATAAAAATATAAATGGGGAACATGTTTGTCCAGCATTAATAAATAGTAATAAAGAAGTTCAGAATACGATATTTCTGAATCATATTTTCAAAATGCCTTAATGGAAACTTCTATATTAGGATCCTTAAATGTATCAATGAGAAATAATATCACTTATAATGAAAATGAGAGATATTTAAGGGAAATACGAAAAAAGGTTAGGCTTGAAGCCACCTTAAGAAATAAAATAATTAAACTTCATTCGAAAATAAATATGGAATTACCATTTAGAACCGATATAAGGGCTGAAATCAGAACTGAATCTAATATTCCTATCTGGAGCAAGCAGAACCTTTACCCATTTTCTGTCAATTCATTTGTAATGAAGAGATTTCAAGAATGTTGGAATCCAACATTATTCAAGTCAGTAATAGTCCATAGTCCAATTCTCCAATATGGGTCGTATCTAAAAAAGGATAAAATCCTGATGGTACCCCAAAGCATAGACTAGTTATTGACTTTAAAAAACTGAATGATCAAACCATTACTGATAGGTATCCAATCCCCGATACCAGTATAATTTTATCAAATCTTGGGAAAGCCAAGTACTTTTCTACAAT